CGCGCGCCCCCTCCACCCGCTCGCCCGCCCACCTACCCGCGGGCCTGGCCGCCTCCGGGCCGCGCCCGGGCACGCGGAGAACGGGGGCCTAGAGGCGGCGGGGACACCGCGCGGGAAGACGGGCTCTGAGGGAAGGTCACTCACCCGCTGCATGGCTTTCAGAATCAAAGCCAGCTCGTAGCGGGGCATGTCCGAATGCTCGGCGCGCCGGGCTCCGAACTGAGCGTAGTGCCGGGACGCGGAGGGGCGGGGACCGGGCGGGCACCGAGAGGGAACGTGCGAACGACTGGGCCGAAAGGCTCCCGGGCGGCGAAAGCACTCTCCAGCCGCGCGAGCCCGGGATTTAAGGCTCGGCAGCTGCGCACACGACGCGCCACGCCCCCTCAGCGCGCCCCGCCCCCTCGGCAGGCCGGCGCCCCGCCCCCTTCCGCGCGGCCCGCGCGCCGCAGCCCACCGCGCTCCGGCTCCCCAAGCGCAGACCCCGCCGGGACCCTCGCCCCGCCGGCAGCTGCAACGCAGCCCCGCCCCCCAGAGGCTCACGGAGGCCGCGCTCCTTCGGCAGCCCCGCCCCCCGCAGCCCCGCCCCCGCGCCGCGCCTTCTACCTATGGCTCTCGAACCGGCTGGAACTTTCCATGCCTGCCGTTTCCTAGGCGGCGAGCGAGCGTGTGCGCGTGCGCTGCTCTGCGCTGCGGTCTCGTCTGTGCTGCGCGCGCCCCTGGCCCGCGACTCCCCTCAGCCGGGGACCTTCCTGGGGACAAGCGGGTCGTTACTCGTAGTCTGGGCTCCCCCGGCTCCCTGCGGGACTTCCGGAGCATCCTAGCTCGGAGTTGGCGGGACTGCCCCTTGCTTCCCGCGCGCTGCCCGCCGCCATCGGAGGGCCCTGGTTGGTCTGGGATCGCTGGCCCTGCGCTGCCTGGGGCGCGCGATTGCAGGTCCAGCCCCATACCGAGGCTGCTGCGTGACCTTGGGAGAGCAGCTTTTGCGGAAAGTGAGGATGCACATAAACCGCGAAAAACCTGGCGCAGACCGGGTGGGGGCGACTCGGGCATCCGTTGTGTGCGCTGGCCTGCCCCATGTGTTGTTGCCAAGAGAAGGCTAATACTTTGATTCTAGCTAATATTCTTTAACTGTTTCCCCAGCGCCTAAGGAGGAATAGAATAGGCACTTTAGCTACCGCCTTGGATTGAGAGCATGTCCCAGGGTAGGGAATGAGGAGCCCTTGGGGCTCACCTCTACTGGGAGCCACTGGTTGTGTTCTAGGCAATTTTCTCTACCTCCTCCCCTTTTTAAGATTGAGTGGAATTGCCACTTCTGCCTCTTCCTTGTCCCACTAAAAAAGTGTAAACGAAATATTTGTCAACCTTGAAGTGCTTTAATAATAACGTAAATTTTATTGAGCACTTACTCAGTGTCAGACACCTTGCGAAGGCTATTCTGTACATCTCATAAAATTTTCCTAACAGCCCTGTGAAACAAGTACTATTAACCCCATTTTAGGTACTAGGAAATATAGACACACAGATAATGTAAGTAGTCCAAGATCACACACCTACAGTAGAAACAAAATTTTCACCCAGACTGTCTGAAGGTTGTGTCCTTACTCAGGCACCACGCTACACTTAGGGAGTTCCCAGACCAGTGATGGTGAATCTTGTGGAGACCAAAAGCCAAACTACAATCTAACCCCACTTACCAAAAAATTATAACACTTTAATCTGAATTCTCAGATTTCTATTTTTTAAGCCACATTAATATTTTTTGTCCTCAAAACAAAATAATATGCCATGGGTTTACCACCATTGTGACCTAGACAAAGGTACTTGTGTAACTGAGTCGATTAACTATGTATTACTGGTAAACCACAAATGGAGGATACTTTTGTCACCTTGACCACAGAGCCTACCTGAATTGTAAGTCATATCTCAGTACTGCTCAAAAGATGAAGAGAATAATTAGAAAATAAGCTTTTCTGTGATTATCTGGGTCTTAATATTTTCTGTTTGTAGACTTAGTAACAACACATGTTCTTCAACACATGTTCTTCCAGAGAGAAGCCACACTGGTAGTGAATCTAAATCAATAGCCTACTCTAAAGAAGTAAGTGACATATTTTTCCAGGATGGTCCCCATTTCAACTGTCCTTCCTGTCGTCAATTACATGGCCCATTTGGGAATAAGAAAATGAGAACTCAGCGTTTGTATGCCAAACCGGAGACCAAGGCTCCAGACTTCAGCTTGGAACATTTCTCTTGGAAGTTCCACAGTTTCTCCTAATGCCCAGGGAAGAGTGAAGATCTGCCTGCTTCCTCTACCCCTTCCTCTACCTTAATAAGTGGTATACGGGAATTAGCCTGATTGCGTAAAGCCTCACTGGAATGCAGCACTCAGAGCCCTCCCAAGCTGCTGGCCACTCACAGACTCATACCATTTCTTGAAGGGAGAAAGAAGACAGCTACCCTGATTTTTTGCCGTCAGCCTTTTTTAAAAAATAAATTGTTGGGGGCTGGGGAGATGGCTCAGTGGAGTAAGTGCTTCCCTGGCAAGTGCAAGGGCCTGAGTTCAATCCCTGGTTCCGCAAAATAAATAAAGAAATAAATAAATAAATAGTTGCTAGTGTCTTTTTAAAAAATATTTAAATGGTGGCTTCATTATAAGAATTTTGGGGGGTCCAGGGAAATAGCTCAGAGGCATAAGCACCTGACCTGACAAGTATAAGGTCCTGAGTTCAATCCTCCCCCTCAAAAAAAATATTTTTTTTCTTAAAAATAATGAAGCATGCTGCTGATAAAGTAATATCTTGCCATTGAAACTACAAACTTAGACTGTATAGCATAGAGAAGTATAAAGCATTGCAGTATGTTTTAAAAATGAGTACTTGTTAGGGTCTCCAAACACTATGGTAGGTGTTCAAGATTTGATTAATCAGAAGTTTTGGTTAATTTTTAAATAAGTTATTCATGGTGGGGGGATAGGAAAGAAGAATAACAGAAGTTAGAATCCACATGTATTTAAAAAAAAAACAAAACTGGGAATATGTATGCCCTGGTCAATTTAATCACTTGTGCCTCCTTAGTTCCTATTTCTGTATGATGAGACTTGACCTTGAGCACTCCATCATTAATTCTAGAATGTAGCTGTTATTTTTTATGACCAAATCTAACATTTTGAATATGCATAATGAGCCAGGAATCATTGTAGGTGTTTTGCATGTATTGACAAAGCATTAGCATTAGCATTAGCATTCCTCTAATTTTACACACCAGGAACCTGAGGCCTCATAGATCTTCAGGAACTTGCCCCACATCATGCAGAACTCCAGATCTGCACAGTGACCCCATACCACAGGACATCCCAATGTTTACCAGCCAGTGTAAACTAAGCCACCATCAGTCAATCTACAAACTATTATTCACACTTTACTTTCCACTGCACACGTCACGTGTGACTATAGTCTTCCCCTTTGAGAATGCCTATGCTTGATCCTCCCTGGCCCTAACCCTAAACCCAGGCTTTTTCCTCTTGCCCTCAGTCATACACAAGTCTCTTAATCCTATTCCAGTCTCAACTTGGCCTTCTTAGGCACATTTTCTCAACAGTGTCTCCTCCAGCACTCGTGGTTAGTGCTCCCCCACACCATCGCCGAAGCTGTTTCCTACTCAGTCCTGTTATGGTTTGTGTGTATTTTTCCCCCCAAAGCCTTATGCAGTCATTGAGGTGAAGTTCTAGAGTTTGTGATTAATTTGTGATCCAAGGCTGGGATTATGGGTCTGAGTAGTACTAGGATTATGGTGTGAGTGCTACACCCAGGCTGGGGTGGATAACCTGAATGTAACATAAAAGAGACAGAGAGACAGACTTGCTCTCTGTGGCCATCCATTGTTGTCACCACTCCCTTTGCTCTCTGCTCTTTGCCACCTCCATGAAAGTTTTCTTTCCGCCATGTGCCACTCTGCCTTGGAGCCAGCTGAGTATGGACTGAAATCTCCAGTAACTATGAGCTAAATAAACCTTTCCTTCCTTCAGTTTGAGTGTCAGACAAATACCCCTTCTGCAGTCTTTTTTATTTTTTATTTTTTTAATGTATTTGGTTGTTACAGGGTCTCACTACACCACTCAGACTTGTGATGATCCTCCTGCGTTTAGCCTCCCCATTGCTGGGATTACAGGCATGTGCCACCACCCCGACTCTGGCAGGCTCAGCCCACACTGGGGGCCGGGCTGGCACAGCATGTGGTGCTAGATGCAAATTGAGATCCCCACACTTTGCCTAAGCAAGTGCTTTAGTCTGCGGTGCTATCTCACCAGCCCCCTTCTGCAGTCTTGATCTTTTCTTTGTTGTCTAGGACCCTGCATGCTAGAGTTTCTCTTTCCTTGTTTGTGGAGGACACCTGAGCAGCTCTCCTTGAAAGAAGAGCGACTATCTCTATTTTGACTGAGCCTGACCCTATTTTCTATGTACAGAGCTGGCTAGGACTTCTGTTTATCAATTGGCCTTAGGTAAATGTAGGCCACCCACCTAGCTCAGCTCACAATAATCACCTTCCTCCCACAATCTCAGTCAATCCTCCTCAAGCCACTCTCCCACTGAATAAAAACCAGGTGAGGCCCTGGGTCGCTCTCTTGATTCCTGAAAACCATCTTCATGGCTGGACTTAGAGCCCCTTGACTCCCCGATGATTGAAAATATAATTTAGTGTCTTTATTTTTGCCGGGGGTTGCATTGTAATCAATAGATTCCAATCATAGATTGGAATCAACTTGATGGGATTCTAATAACGTAACTTTGGGATTATAAATATTGGCTTCTTGGACCCAGATGAGGTCCTGGTCATGTCTCCTACACTTGTTAGTCCTCTTTACTGGCTCCTTTTCCCTTCCTCTGCCTAAAGTGGCTGTTGTCTAAAGCAAAGAAATATCCCAACAGCAAAGATTTAAGGGAGGACTGACACATAGCCTGAATTCCTGGCAATCATGTTTTTTTTGCTAGGGTCTGAAGAACTTTCCTGCCAGGATTCCAGCCTACCTTAACTGCAGATGGGCAGTGGAAAGTGAATAAAATGAGTGATCTCCCTGTCTGCAGATAAGAAATCTGATAAGAAAACAAAGTCAATTATTTATCCCAAGCCATCTGTCCCTGTTCTGGCAACACACACACACACACACACACACACACACACACACACACACACGCACACACACGCACGCACACACACCTGTGTTTACTAGATTCTTTCTCCTGTGTGCTCTTTGCTAGGATGCTGGCTGTGCTATTCCTAATGGATTAATCCACAGGGAACATGATCTTCCCGCAGTCTAAAAGTTCAGTTCTAAATATCCTTAGGAAGAGATCAAATAAATGTGCATCAT